CCAAACTTCAGGTAATCTGTCATGAGTCCCTTTTGAAGCAGTGGCTTTCATTTGGCCGCTACACCATACAGGTCAGGTCGGTAGAGAGAAGGTTGTTCTTGATGGTTGTTCTTTTTTCAGGTTCCAGTTACAAAAAGAAGTTTGTTTTATATAACTGAACGAAGATACTTTAGTAATCGCATTTGTTCATAAGCTTTGGATTTGCTAATGCCCCAAGGTAAAAAAATAAAAGAACAAAAGTGTTACAGATAAATTCACACATTTTATGAGTATTTTATCATGATTTAACTGGATACCATATGTACTTACTCACACCCCACCTCTGGATGTGACTTAGATGCATCATAACCGTTATTTAATGAACTCGAAGTAGAACTTTTTTTGTGTGTGTTTTTTCTTCATGTTTGTTCTTATTTGGCTTTACTGTTTTTTTTCCCATACATCTTGAGAGAAAAGTCACATTGAAAAAACAACAGAGTTCTAGATTGTTTGACCGCAAGGAAACCATGACAGCAGCCATGCGACCTGGGGCAGATTGGCCATGAACATTTTTCTATATTTACTCTTCCACATAACCTCTTCTGTAATCAAATGACCCAGAAGTTTGATGCATTAAAACAATGGATTAAGGATTTTTTTAAACTTTACCTTTTTAAATGGTATTTGTATAGTTGTTGAAAATGGAATGCACCACTCATTAAATAAAACTTACTATTCCCTCAGCTGTTGTTAAATCCAAGATGCTATTTGTTTTATACTCTTGGGGCCAAATTGGTTTCCAAAAGAGGATGAAGATAAATTTTTTCTCCTCATGTGTGCTTGTTTGGAATTTATCCACATTGCAACAAGTGGTCATCCATCCATTTAATTACAAGTACAGCTGAGACCCAAAGCAAATTAGATGACTGTGACTCTGTTATATAATACAATTATCATATTATATTTTACGGTAGCCAACAGTTTTACACTAACTTGCTGTGTCTTTGAAATATGGTAAGCTTAATCATCTGTATTTACAATAAAGAGAGAGTACAATATTTCACTGGTTAAGTTAATAAATAAATGTAATTGGAAACTAGATATTGACAAGGAAATTGCTCAGCCCAGCCCCTTTATTTGCTTGGAAATTAATAGTACAGTATTTCAGCTGTGCAACTGATAAAGCTATTACTGCTCCTGTAGGCTTTGGAATAAATTATGTCCGATCCACTCATTAATATCAACTTTAGTGGACTGTGGCCATGTGGTCACAACAAAATACTAAGTTGTGTGTCAGTAGAATAATTATCCTTAAATCTGAAGTATATATTTCATTTAGTATGCTTCCCCCGGCCCTGTTATTATATACACCTTGTTATTAGCAGGTTGGACCATAATTTGCCTTCAACTACCCTTAATTCATACCATCAAAACGAGCCATTTTTGAGACATTCCTCTGAGATTTTGGTCCATGTTAATATTGAAGCAGGAAATACACATTGATGGTTGCAGATCGATGATGCTGATCTCCAATTCCACCATTACCAAAAGTTTCTCTGTCGGTCTGAGATCTGAGATCACTACTGGACCATGATAGCTTTATCATGGTCCAGTAGTGCATTTCACAATGCAAGTTTTCCCCAGTCCATTATCACAATTTTGGCAAGCCATATAATTTTACTCTGTTTCACCACTCCTAGGTGACACAAGAAGTAAGTGTAAATCGATATCAATGCCTCTTTCTGACACAACTTGAAATGGTATTGTAAACAAAGAAAACAATATTGGAATTGACAAACTGTCACCAGCTGGTCCAACGTTAAAGTCTCTTAGGAAAAGCCATGTAAATTCTTGGTGTAAATTGTAGTCTCAGACAGCCTGAGGCTTGCATGTAAATGAAACGCTTTTATTAAAAGTAAACCTCAGATATTGTTAATTTCAATAACTCCACTGAACATGAGTGGGTGTGATTAACTACATTTTAACTTAAATTCTCCTTCTGCCTCTTAAGCCTTGCAGAGTCACAGATTTGATTAACAAGTTTATGAAGCGTTGTCCAACCTAATTTCTTGGCTTTTGTTCCTCTTCCCTACAATATATATCCAGGTTGTTAATTTTGTTGTGGCTGACAGAGAAAATTCATTACTCTCCTATTGGATGTTAACTTTCCCCCTCTGTCTTATTCAGAATGAATGATGAGCATGTTTTTCTGTCCTCATAGAAAGAGCAATTTAAAAGTCTTACCTATTGCGCTTAGTTTAATGGGCAATTTGGAGAATCAGATTGCTTGTGAAGAAATGGCAAATGCATAATAAAACTTTGGGCCCTTGAGGACACTCACTCTGCCAGAGATTGCGAAGACAATGATTCTTTGCTTCACTGAAGAGAGGAAGGCTGAGGGGAAACTAGACAAAGTGAATGGAGAGAAAGAGAGTTAAATTTAGCTCCTGGGAAAATGGAAGACAGAGCAACTGATGTTTGCAGATTGAAACAATTAGAACATATTAAGGAGAAGATACCATGACAATGGAGCTTGGGTCGTTTTACGTCATGCCAGCCTCTTAATTTTAAGGTGGAGTGATTTTAGTGGGAAGGACTGCAAGGAGGAGTCTATTTATTGATGTGTTTGAATGTAATGAGTCGGATCTAAGGAGAGTCTCAGCGGGGAGATGGGAAAGAAATTAAAAAGGTTTCTTGATGAGCAGGCAGCTATCCTGAAAGCAAAACAGATGGTTTCCGTTGTTATAAAAGCATCTTAGCTCTCTGCTTACTGGGGGTATTCATGGAGTTTGCCCCAGTGATTCTGTGCCATGCTAACAAGAAGGTTACTACAAAAGAGATCTTTGGGCTTGAGGATATATTCTAAAAGGCCAAGATATTGTTTATTTCTAACTTACTTTGATCTCTTATTTTTGCTTTTATTCACTGCTGTATTCCACCACAAGTCATGCCTACCCTGATGTTAGAGCTGAACTATTCTCATTCCCATGTCTTGTGAACTTTTTCCTGTTACAGTTTGAGGATTGTCGCTTTGGAGGTACAGCAAACCTGAAGAGAATGATGATCTGATCTGATTAAACCAAAATTGAACTCTTAAGTTTTTGGAGTTCGATGTTCAAAATTACTCTAGAATTTGAAAGATTGTATACATCCTTGAATTTACAATACCTAAAATATTAAATCATATTCTTCATGTTAATGAACAGATGAAGGCATCCCATGTGCCACTATTATACTTCCTGCAATGGTTTCTCCACAGATATATGATTATACCTCTGTAAAACTTCATAAACTGCATTGAAAGTTCTTGAATTATTTCCTGCATGGGCCTCATAAAACTATCATTACCTCAGAGCCCAAAACGAAGTTTGAACAAAATTAATTATTCTGGTCATTATTAGTTTTCTTCATATTTAATTTAGTAGGTTAATGTTAAATTGAAAAAGGACCCGCTCTACATTTTTTTTGTTTGTTATGAAACTAAATTAAACTTTTTGTATTTTTACTGTTGGTTTCTAATTAAAAAATAACAGATTCATGGCTTATCATCATCATGCAAACAATTCATTAATCAAACCAAGCTTGTTTTAAAGCAGCTGTTCAACTTTGCACTGAATAAAAAAAAAAAAAAAAATACTGTGTAAGAATAAAATTGACAACTTGAAGTGTGTAATATGACTGTCATTTACCAGCATTTACCTTGTTTCCAAAAATACCTCAAATGAACGTATCCCAATGTTAGTGTTTATTGTATAAGCCATGATGTAAGGCAAGGGAAATTTATATGTATAGCACAATTCAGTACAAAGACAATGCAAAGTGCTTTTGATGATTAAAATACAGGAAGATAAAATAGAATCAAAGCAAGTAGGGAAAAAATAGATAAATAAATAAAATTAAATACAAAATGCAGAAACAAAAAAGAATTTTTAAAACATTTGGACTAAAGAAAATATGTTTTATGATGTTAAACCTACTCACTCACTATTGGTCTTTCCCTTCAGGTTTGCTGGGCAGAAAGAGAATATCGTTCAGTCATGCTTAAAAAATAAGCATTATCCAGTCGTACCCAAATGTCATACTGAATTAGCTAATTAAGATGTAGTTGATAAATAAAAAATCATAGATTTTTTGTGCTACCTGTTCACTTTTTGTTCATCTATACCTGTGTAATAACACAGTTTTATTTTCTACCATTTGCTAACTGTATACTACAGTTATCAGTCTGTCTGGCCAGGCTAACGATGGGTACCTGCTCTACTGGAAACAAACAAGACTTTAATCTGCACTAAACACTTGAAATCATATACATGACTATATTTATCCTTAAAGGTTTGGAAAGATTTTCCATCTGGCAGTAAATTTTTCTCAGGGAAAACTGCTTGTGTGGTGTGATTCACTTGTTTGACTAAAGCTGTTCTATGACCAATTTATGTATTTATTTATTTTTTATTATTATTTTTTTTAATCACCATGTGTGGTGGCTCTTATATATCTGAAATCCCCTGAACAGTTCAAAATCTTACCATAGGAAACAGCCTTTATGTAGTCTGAAATCTAACCCAGTATCACTGTGACACCCTTGTCGAACATGGTGGTGGCACCATCATGCTGCAACAGTTCTTTTCTAGTCTAGGGAAAGATTAACCTGTCAGAGTAAATAGGAAAGACGTTTGATAGTGGATTGTTGGAAGAACAGCAGTTAGAGGCTGTAGAAAACACTGGACTAATTTAGATTAGTGGTCTTTTAACATGATGGTCAGATCTCAAAGGTTAGAGGTTTAATTAAAGAGGATTTTGTTGCTAGACTAGAAAACTTATATTCACAGATGCTCAAACTAATCTCACTTATCACAAGTTATATTCCAATGTGCAAAAACCTCACAGTCAAGGCTGGTTAGCCTAGATTATTTTTCTTTCACTTTGCATTTTTCCTCTATGTTTTTGTCATAAAATCAGAGTGAAAAACATTGAATAATAGTTTTGTAAAATTTTTTATTGTATTTCTTTACACACACCAGATGTCTACAGAGGAACTAGAAGAATATGTCAACGGCCAGTTTGATGAGCTCCGCAGGTTGGTTCGACTGGAGGAGAGGAGGACCCTTCACCTGGTGGACCTCAAAGAAGCGTTCCTCACAGCATCGGCTGCAGAGAAAATAGCTGAGATCACCCTCGAAACTGAAAAACTGCAGGAGGAGATGGATAACATCACACACCAGCTGTGCCTGCTGGAACAGGCCGAGGCGCAGGCCATAGGTCCCGCAGCAGTGGCAGAGGTCCTTGCAGCAAGCCCTGGACCAGTTCACAGATTACTTGTAAGAGAATCTTCCCCTCTTTTCTCTTTTAGTAGTTTTTAATAACTTTATGCTTAGTATAACAAAGCACTATAAATGCAATTGGTACTGAAGCCTTGCAAAAAATTAACTAGTGTAATATTTTGGTGTGAATTACAAATCTGATCTGGTTAAAAGTTTGGGGAATTTTTTTTAATCCTCTTTCTTTTTTATCTTTACTATCTTCTCTCCATATAAAATGTAGCTTTCAGTTAAAATTAGGTATCAATTCATAGGGTCGAGGTACCCCAACTTTTCAACTTGTAATTCCAATTGTTCAGTTATCTCCTACTTACAATCTGCAGATGTATTTCTCTTATTGAAATACAAACTGATGCCAGTTCTTCCTGGTTTTGAAACCTAAACTTGTTAAAACATCTGTATACTTTAATAATGGTAATTTTGACATGCTTTCTTGGAGATGATCTTTATTTAATCTTCACAAAAGACTTCAGAAAAATGGTGAGGTCCTTGATTTCCAGCTTAAATATATTGACTGGACTTAACAAAAACTCCATAACATTTAAGTTGGTATAGATCAAACATTTTAGCACACATCAAAAAAGATTGTTTGTTATTGTAAAGTAAGAATAATTGATTGCAGTTTTTACACAGAGGTATTTTGTTACTGATAATTAATAAATTGATTTGAATTTATGTGTCAGGACTGTTTGCTGTAACATCTGTTACTCACAATTTATATCAGATTAAGCCTCAAACATTATTTGTTATAATGCTTTAGTTCTAGCTTGATTAAATCTAAGCAGCATTTACTCTTAGCCATTAAGGAATGGTCCAAGGCCTTTTTTTTTTATCGTACATTATTGCAGAAGCTGCAAGAATAAATAGACTGGCTTAATTATTTAATCCAGGCATAAATTATTTTTATTTATATACAAATTTTTTTCTCCTTTCTGTGCCTCCATCAATGTGGTTCAAAAACACTGTTTCTTTAACAGAATAAAGTTGACGGGTCCTGTATTTACGTTGTTTATTGAAATTGATTAAACTTATCTATTTAATTCAGCTCAATTATCAGGAAACTAATTAAAGAGTGGTGAAAGCTGAAGGATTTTCTAATGTTTCTGTACCAATAAAACTAGTAGCGATGCTGCAGTTGTCTAAAATGACGAGATTCCTGTTAATGTCATCTGCTGACTAATGCGAGAAACAAGATAATTTAGTTTTCAAGAGCAGAATGAATCCATCAGAGTGAAAGCAGAGGCATTAGAAATGGTTAAATCAATAGTTCTATGCATTTCAAAATGAAAAAAGCTTGGAAAACATATGAAGGTTTGGATATCCACAGAACAGTGATGGATGATCACAGAACTCTTCTTGTAAAGAAAAAATAAAAGCTTCTTGGCATCTGGCAAAGTGAAGGACACTCTCCAGAGAAGATTTCAAGTGAGCAAATACAGAGGCTTCTCTACAAAGTGTAAACCAGACATAAGCCTTTCAATGGAAATGTCAGATTAGCCAGTATTCTTTAGAAAGATAAAACACATGCAATGAAATTGTGTCGGAATGATAAATATAAAGAAGGGCCTGAATATAAAGCAGAGCTGGAAAGCATACGGACTTGATTTTAAAACACATGGGGAGATGAAGCTAACCCATTACATAGATTACAGGCATGTCTTGAAGACATAAAAACCTGGATGACTCTTAACTTTCTGCTTCTGAATGCAGACAAAACAGAAGTTATAGTCTTTGGACCAGAGTCTCTGAAAAAGAAACTGATTAGCCAGTCACTTCATTTGGATGGGATTAAACTGATTTCAGATAATAAAGTAAAAAATCTTGGTGTTGTTTTTGATCAGGACCTGTCATTTAGGTCCCATATCAAGGAGGTTTCTAGAATTTCCTTCTTTCATCTGAGGAACATTGCAAAAATTAGAAATATCCTGTCCAGGGGTGATGCTGAGAAACTAGTCCATGCATTTGTTACTTCAAGGCTGGACTATTGTAATTCTTTACTATCAGGAAGTCCACAAACTGTAGTTAAAAGCCTTCAGCTGATCCAAAATGCTGCAGCCAGAGTTCTAATGAAAATTAAAAAGAGAGATCATATCTCGCCTATCCTGGCTTCTCTTCATTGGCTTCCTGTTAAATCAAGAATAGAATTTAAAATCCTCCTTCTCACATATAAAGCCTTAAATGGCCAAGCTCCATCTTATATCAGAGATCTGATTGTTCCTTATGTTCCTAACAGAGCACTTCGCTCTCAATCTGCAGGTTTACTAGTGGTTCCTAGAATTTCTAAAAGTAGAATGGGAGGCAGATCTTTTAGTTATCAGGCTCCTCTCCTGTGGAACCAACTACCAGTTTTAGTCCGTGAGGCAGACACCCTGTCTACTTTTAAGGCTAGGCTTAAAACTTTCCTTTTTGATAAAGCTTATAGTTAGAGTGGCTCAGGTTATCCTGAGCTATCTCTATAGTTATGCTGCTATAGGCTTAGACTTTTGGAGGACATAGGGACCCCCATTTCATCATTCTGCTTCATTCTCTCTCTGTTCTCCTATTCTGCAGAATCGTTAGTTCAATCTCTAACCTTCTGCTCTCTCTGCTTTTCCTCAGAGTAGCTTTGCCTCGTCTGTTCCTGTTTGGCTGTGACGTCATCCTGGAAAGAAACATCAGCTGTGCTGCTTCTATCAACACCCTTGTTTATAGATGTTGGAGATCGGCCTGTTTTCCAGTGTGGTCCTGTTTCTCTGACCGTGACTGAGTGGATGTGCTTTCTTCGTCCTCTGGCATGGGAGCTGCCTTGGAGCTCGTCTGCCTGGCTGTGTGTTTCCTGGACGGGGCCGCCTTTTACAGCTGCTTTTTGTATCTCTGCTTCTGTCTCCTTGAACCCCAGTCGGCCTCGGCAGATGGCCGCTCACACTGAGCCTGGTTCTGCTGGAGGTTTCTTCCTGTTAAAAGGGAGTTTTTCCTCTCCACTGTCGCTACAAGCATGCTTAGTGTGGGGGATTGTATTTGAGTCAATGAGTCAATGCAATCAACTGGTTTTCCTTAGATAGAAAACTTTGTATCAATTTGATCTGGTTGAACTGTAAAGTGCCTTGAGATGACATGTGTTGTGAATTTGGCGCTATATAAATAAACTGAATTGAATTGAATTGAATTGTGTGCAGCTATTAGCATGCATTGCTTCCAGCATCACAGTTTCGCTAAGCTTTAATAATCCTCATGCGATTCAATGCAGATCACATTTTATTTATCATGCATATCAGTCCCAGAATGCAGTAAAGGTTAATGGACAGTTCTTCTGTATCAATGGAGAAAAACCCAGACAACTTCACTGAAAGCAACTATGATTTTTCTCTTTTAATTAAAGAAAGTTGAGAAACTGCAGGTGTGGAGTTCAATATACATAATGCATTTTATTTTTTAAGATAATGAGAGAAAGAGACAAAAAGAATTATAGGTTACTTTGGTGAATCAAAACAACAACCACTTCTTAAAATAAGACTGTCTTACTATTTTATATGCTTTAATTTAAACTGCATGCTTTATACCTATTCTGGAGAGATTAAACACACCATTGTGTTGATACAATTGTTCTTTTTTTAGCATAGAGCTTTACAGGTAATGACATTCCACTTTTCCGTCTGTTTCTCTGGCATTGTTTAAATGTGTTGTGCAAAAAAAGAACCCAAAAAAACTGCAGATGTCTGGACATCAAATTTAATTAGTAACAGCTGTGTCCAAATGTTCCTCCAGCCATGGTAATTAGATTCAGCTGCAACTTATTTTCTCTGTCCCTGACCAAGATCAACGAGCGTGTAAATGCATCTGTTATGTAAACTTAAATTTGAACTTCTTTTCCAACCCTCCAAAATAGTTGTTTGGTTTAGGTGAGGTTTTTGGTGATAATCAATGTTTTGGGCAAATAAATTAAATTGTTTGAGATACATGACATAGTGCACAGAACAACATATAGGCAGGTAATTGCATTTTAAATTCATATTTTTTTTTTAACAAGCAGTCATTTGCCAGAGATCTTTTATACTCCTGCGTATGGTGCTGGTTTGTTAGATCTTTCTAGAGCTTCCTTCCCTTTACTATATAAATTAGCTTATACATAAATTTTTGTAAAATCTAACTGTGGCTAGAAATTCGGATGTTCTATCTTTTGAGGATTATGTTGTTTGTTCATTTCTGTGTTTTAGGTAATCGTTCCTCATCGACTTTTTGCAGCTTTCATGATTGCCTTAAGCTTTTTTGATCTGTTATATGCTTTTAAATATTTTTTAATTGGGACTCTAACTTCCTCACTAACGGAATTTAACTGTGCTATAAGCCCAAACAAATCTAAAAAGGAAAAGTTGTAAAATCATGACGCATGCCTTCAGGTTTTAGTTTCCATTGAGCTGACGTTTTAATCTCAGTGTCTGTAAAGTCACTGTATATAATCCAGAGCTTCGTGAGGTGGCGAGTGTTGGCAGAGGTACAAGCCATGTCCTTAAACTCATCAAGTTCCTAAACAACTCACTCCTGCATGTCTCGTTTCCAAATTGCAGAGAGGGCTTTTAGTACTTATAGATGCCAAATTTAAAAAAATCCCATAGGTCCATTTGTCTCTCGCAATATTTTTTCCACCCCTGTCAAGAAAGGAGGCTTGAGTGTTCCCTGGAGATGGTATGCACGGCTAGAGAGGCTGTAGTAATGGTATTAGCTGATGTGGAGATTGCTTTTTCACTGAGAAATGAATCCTTGGTGGGCTGGGTTCATTAGTGGCCCTAATTGAGTGCCAGTACTTTTCCTGTTTGTTCCCACGTGTTTGTTGTCGCTGGAGTTGCCACTAGGAAGTGTAATGGTCGCTGGAGATGTGGCTCTTTAGGGTGGAAATGCTCTTTATTCAGCAAATTAATTAATTTTTTTGTGTGTACCTGATACCTTTGGTTTCATCTTTCATCTAAATGAAGAAAGTGTTTAATCTTAAGGTTGGGATTTCTACCATATCAAGGTCATGGATA